GGGTTTGAACCGCCAGCCTTCTGGTTAGCAGTCAAGTGCCTTAGCCACTATGCTACCAGAGCTCCCGGACATTCTTATAGCACACACAAATTTGTATGCAGAAATATTGTCTGGCAGACTTATGTATGGTCATGGGTATATTCCCTTTTGCCTACATACCTGATCATTTTGCCTGTCTACCTACATATTCACCCATAGATTAATGCATGGTATTACTGATAATGCAGTATCATGTATGCAAAAGTATTTACCTTTCTTATCTGTACCTCTGGTGCACCTCTCCATAGAGCACTGATCTTATGGATAATATCCCTTATGTTGTGCACCACTCTGCTGTTTTACTAACAGGAATAGTTTTGGTTCAGGGTTTAAAGTGTGATTCAGGGTGTTTCAGGGAATTCTCTGGCCTCAGATGTCCAGTTAGTCTGGCTTTTTTTTTAAAGAATCTGAGTTTTATTCTACATTCTCCCCACCCCATTCTATTCAGAAGGATCTATTGTGACCCTGGTTAGAAGGGTCAGTAATGGTAGCTGGGCACCATCTAGTTCTTCTGGTCTCAGGGGGCGGGGGGTGGGGCTGGAGCTCGTGTAGGCCGTCAGCCTTGTAGTCTTGTTTCTTCTCTGAGATTTTTGTTACCTTCTGGTTCTTTTGCTCCCGATGAGTAGAGACCCAGAGTTGCATGTGAGATGGCTGGTCACGAGATTGTAAGACCCCAGACGCCACTCACCAGACTAGGATGCAGAGCGCGGCCTTCATGACCTGTGTTGTGCCAGCTGACTGAGTGTCAAGGGCCTTAAAGCACAGACGTGCCCCTCGCACCTCAGAACTGGTGCTGACTCCCAGCCCAGAAGGACACCGCCCCTGCAGGGCTGTGAGCTCCCATCTGGCCTTGTGCTTGGACCAGCCCCACTGAGGCTCCTGCCCTCTCTCCTGTCCCACAGCCTGACGGTAACATCCTCCATGACCAATTCAAGAGCTTCCAGAGAAGGAACTTGATCAAGCCCTGGGAGAGAGCCAAGTGAGGGTGTGTGTGTGTGCGGGGGGGTGTAGTGAGGGGCAACTGGACTTCCCTCCCACCAAGAGGGGCTTACAGGTCACTGACCACCCCCTCTTCCCTTCCCTAGCTTCAAGTACAAGTACAAAGTGAAGGTAGTGGAGAGCAAGCATTCTACGAGATCCATTGAGTGCTGCATGCCTCCCGGCCTCCCTCCCCTCACCATCCGGGATGCTCCCAGGCTGGGAGTAGCATGGTCCTGGCCCACCCGGACAGCAGGACGGTGGGCAGCCATGGCAGGACCAAGGGGCTCCTAATGAAAAGTGGGCTGGGCTGTGTGGACCGCCTGGATGTGAGGGGTGACAGAGTGAGGTGCGGGGCTCACACCTCCATCTGCCACTTGGAAAACAGCCCACTTCTTTGTGTCACAAGATAGGGGATGAGAAGCAAGTCTTGACGGCAGTTCTTCTGGCATTAACGGTGGTGGTGACGGTGGCGGCTGGGGAGCTGCTCCCACTCACGGCAACCCCCGATAACGCAGCTGCATCTGAAGTCATCGAACCTCATGAGGCGGGAGGAGAACCGGCATCGGCCCAAAGCTGAGTCCTCTGAGGTGCTGGTCATGCATGCTGCATCCCACTCAACCTTTTCACCACCTCTCATGCCAGCCATCCCTCCCACGGCACCCTACACTGCTGGATTCAATAATTCATTGCAATAGACACAGAGAACTCACAGACAATGTTCACAGTTATGGACCTTATTAGGGAAGCACTTGTTGCCCTCCAGTCAATTCCAACTCACAGCAACCCTATAGGATGGAGTAGGGCTGCCCTATAGGGTTTCAAGGCTGAAAATCTTTACAGAAACAGACTGCTTCATTTCTCTCTTGCATAGCAGCTGGTGGGATCGAACTGCTGATCTTTAGGTTGGCAGCTGAGTGCCTAACCACGTCCCTAACAGGGTAACATTATTAATCTCTCAGAGCCTCAGGCTCTTCACCTACAGGCTGACAGAGGACAACAGGACGTGCCTGTTTGAGGTGGTATGAAGGTATAAGAATGCTAAGTGTTTAGAACAGGGCCTGGTGGTAGTAAGTATTCAGTAACATAGCTGTAAAGAATAACAACAACAAAAAAAAAAGGTATGGAGTTAAGAATATCTAGATTTGTGGAACTGGCTTATCCAAGTCTAGTCTAATCAGGACAGGAAGTAAGAAAGAAGGAAGGTTGCTGACCAGAGACACCAGACAACCTTCCTGGAAGCTGTCTTGCAGGCTGGTGACCATTCTCAAGGAGAAGAAAGTGAAGAAGGGAGGCAAAGGCTGCAGGAGCTAGAAAGGCCCTGTGCCCCCTTAGAGAGGAATCAGTGTGCTTGGTGCAGAGAGAAAGGACACTGGAAGTGAGAGTGTCCCAAATTTCAGGCAAGAGGGAGGAAGCAGGGAGAGGGAACCCCGTGCCTGGCTGTACCTTTGGAAGAAGGTTCAGACTGAAGGGGACCAGAGGCTAACCCTCCACTGGAGTCTCCGCTTATAATGAAGGCGGAAGGAAAGCCCATGAGATTTCTGATGGGCACAGGGGCACCTCATTCAGTAACAACTAGCAAAGCCACCCCCATGTCAGGGAGAACTGTCCTAGTGGTTGGGGTATCAGGAAAGGAAGATCGTCTGCTGTTCCTGAAACCTCTAACCTGCTCCTTGAATGGAAGGATACTGACTCATTCCTTTCTGTACATGCTGGATTGCCCAGAACCCGTTATGCCCAGACCTACTTTGTAAACTACAAGTGCAGATGGCTTTTGAGAATGGACAGGTAGACATGTATGTGCAAACTGATTCAGGATGGAGGCTGCAAATGGCTCTCTTGAATCAGATAGTCAATTATTTACAAAAACCAAAAAACAAACTCACTGCCATCAAGTCGCTTCTAACTCATAGTGACCCCCATTGGGTTTTTAAGGCAATAAATCTTGAAGGAAGTAGATTGCCTCATCTTTCTTCTGCGGAGTGGCTGGTGGATTTGAACCAGCAACCTCTGGTTAGCAGTCAAATGCCTTAGGCACTGCACCACAGGGGTCCTTAATTATTCACAGGAAATCCTTCATCAATGGTTCTGTGGTAGTTAAAGCTGTATGTCAACTTGGCCGGGCCTGGTTGAGTGGCTGGGCAGCTTGTGGTAGTTAGTTCCCATGAAGAGACTGACAATCAACTCCACAGTGGGATCTACCACAAGCAGCTGAGTAGCTGCTTTGGGTATGTGGTCTGCTTCCTGTATATAAGCAGCAGCTTTGGGAATGGTCTTTAGCTTATGGCATGCTTGAACCCTGGGTGTAGCCATGTCATTGTTCAGCAGCCTGCCATGCTCTGCCAACCCTGGGACTTTCAATGGACTTGAATGAATGGCCTGCCATGTGGTTTGGTAACAACAGGACTGTGCCATTTTATTTGTCAACCTTGGGCTTGTCAGTCTAAGCAGCCAGTAGCTGCCTGAGTGGCGAGATGCCTCTAGCTTCAGTGGGCTGGGAGCAAGAGGCAGAGATGAAGCCCAAGTTCTAGGGGCTTTCACACAGCACCTAGAGCCTGCCACTTTGAACTTGGACTTAAAGCCTCCAAACTGTAAGAGAATAAACTACTGTTTGTTAAAGCCATCCCATTTGTGGTATATTCTTGTCAGAGTGGGATCGGTAACCAGAACACAATATGGTACTGAGAGAGAGGGGTGCTGCTCTGACAGATACCTAAATGTGGACCTGAGACCCTGGCAGAGAGACCCCAGCATATGGCATGA